AAGAGAACTATAAGATAAAAAGGTTACCCCATAGTTCTCTTTTAATGCAATTCTATATGGAATTTGTCATGGATATGATATAGGATGATATGATTTTTTGTTGGGTATCCCTTAGGTGTATGATCGGAATATGACTAGAACTGTGTATAGAGTACAAATAATCAAAGAGGAGGTGATATGTTTTTCCAACAATATTAAAGTAGTCAATGTTTTTTTCAGTAATTAATCCAGATTTAAGAACTATACATCACCCAGCAAAGTATTTCTTTACATTTTTGCCCAAGCACTTACAGTCATCATGTTTCTGAACAGCTGGCTTCAACTCTCTCAGCTCAGCTTCCCTGAACTTCCTGTCCAGTACAAGATCACAGGGGACTGCACAGTTTCCAGCACTAAGGACACCTTCTTTGTATTTCACATTCTCAACACCTGAATTCAGAAAATGCTTATATTCACTGCTCTCAGCAAGTGATCTTAGAAAAATAAGTTTTAGGACCTTGCTGTTGCTAACATACAATTTATAGCAGCTTTATTGCCATATGTTTTGTTCTACAGTGAACTAAGGGGAACAATTATAATGTTTTTTTAAGTGCAAAGGAGACGACATTAAGAACAATATATTACAAGATGAATTGAGATTGTATCCAGAATTCGAGTATGAGGTTTTGTTTTTAAATAGACATCATTTTTTTTCATTCTATATACACACAAGGTTGACTCTTCCATAACCTCTTGCCATATAGTATCCCTGTATGTATAGTTTGGCAGAGGATCTAACCTTTCCCCCCAAAAAAGCTAGAGTTGGGCTTTAATTTATTTTAACCATTTTAAATAGCTACTAAGGTTAGTGTAAGATCTAATTTGTCTTATGACAATGACAACCAAAGTATACAAATCCATGCATGGAAAATTGATTTATGTTACTTTATGGGGACTGCAGCAGGAGACATAAGAAAGCAGTGGTTGTCTTAGCCCAGGAAAATCCGCTAATAAATATATATTTTTGAGTGGCCTTGACTATTTAAAATGCTTGCTGCTGTATAGAGTCAGATGCAAGTCTTTTAGGGCTTGTTCACACGATGTCCAGATTCTGTCCGGACCAGAACAGTGCACTCCTGCACCCAAAATGCATCCCAATGTCTCCATATGTGTCTTATGGGCTACAGTTCTCACCAGCGCAGTCCGTTCCAGTCTGGACAGAAAAAATACTGCATGTCACATTTTCTCCGGGCCGGAAACGCACGAACGCGTCAAAAACGCACTGCATGCATAGCACCGCGTCTGCAGATCTGCTAAAGATCTGGACCAGAAAATGGTGTGAACAAGCCCTAAATAGATAGCAAAACCATCAATGAAGTATAGGGTTTACATGTGAATAAAAATCCATATATTCACCTCTGTATCTGTTTGCTGAATAAGGCTACAAGCTCTGTATTCTGGGTCTAGGCTGAAGCATGCACCTGCTTGGGTATAAGTACTGACGTGACTTTAGAGCCAGACATATGAACTACCAAATGCTGGCCTTGATATTTCCTGAGTTACTGAGCTACCAGTTAGCGTTTCCTGTTTACAGTTTTTACTGAGCATACTGAGTCAATCATTCTCATTAAACCAGCCCTATAAATGTTTATGATCATGGAGAAAAATGTTCGGCTAGATGTAGGGATGTCTAAAAAGTACATTCGTGTAAACAAATCAGTTTGGCCTTAAAGGTAATATGCTTGACTTCCAAAAGCTGCTTAAAATAGATCTGTTACTGGGAGTTATGAGAGAATAATGTCTTAACAACATCATACTTCAACCTCATACCTTGAGCTCTCTCTGCCACTAAAGAGGTATTGCATACACTTGTCCTACCCCAACCAACCTGGGTGTCTCTTTTATGCACTTGAAAGGTTATTCCATAATTATCTGAGGTGGAAACAATTTATAGGACCTTCCCTAGCCAATAGTCTTAGCATAGTTGACATCGTGTCAATTGGGTCTAGACCTTATTATATAGAGTAACATGTTTCTGAATGGGCATTCCAAAAGCAGAAAGAGGTAAAGAAAATAACCTTTTACATGGAAAACCCTTTCACAAAATATTAAGGTATGTAGCTACAAATTATGAGACCTATAAGAAATCAGGAGGGATATCAGGTTCTCCAAACTCAATTTTAAAGCCAATTTCACTGAAGAGATCAGGACCATTCTAATAAAAAATCGGTAACACTTTGTATTTTGAAGCAGTCTTCTAGAGATACGGAAAAAAACATTTGAATACAGATTTTCAAAATTGTTTTGCAAAGTCTGTAAATCCTTATACAGATATAAAGCCCTGGGCTTCAGTGTTGTTGGCTTTATATAGGTCCCCCTTGGAAATTATCATTTCAGTGCCGTCCTTCAACTGTTCTCTAACTCAGAAGCAAACATGGAACAGAGTGGAAATAAAAGGCCCTAAAGGTAGTTTAAAGTTCTGAAAAAATGGAAGCATTAAAAGAGAACTATGAGGTGAGTACTTTTCACTCACCTCATAGTTCTAGCCGACCTGTGACAATGAGACTGTCACAGGTCGGCTCAGTAGATCGGGAGGTGAGCGAAAACATACCGGCGTTCGCTCACCTCTCGATCCTGTCACGGCTCTCTGCCGTGACAGGGGAGGGGCTGGATTCCCCCCTCTCCGCTCCGATTCGCCAGCGCTGACTGGCGGATCGGACAGGGGGAGGGGGCGGGTACAGCTGGCTCTGCTTCTAGATAGGCAGAGCCAGCTGTCAGTCACGCAGCTAGGCGGATCCCGGCACAATTGTCGGGATCCGCTTCAGCTGTGGCGTCTCAGTATACCGCGAGCAGCAGCTCGTGGTATACTGCGGCATCTCAGTATACCGCGAGCTACAGTTCGCGGTATACTGAGCCTAGGGTGACGGGAGGACGCTAGTTTGTGTCCTCCCGTTACCCTAAGGAGAACTATGGGGAAAAGCCTTAACCCCATAGTTCTCCTTTAAACAGCTTTGAGCAATGCTGAGCACCACTACTTCTACTTTTCTGTGCACTGCACTGGTTTTCTGTATACTGTTCTAGTATATAGAGAATGTTTTCCATGTACAGAATGGATGTCGTTGTACACGTAACCCTCTTCTCTTCCTAAATAATCTTCTTAATAATAGTAATTACAAAATAAAGTGACTTCCATTTTCCTTGCTACTTGGAGCCATTGCTTCAGATTCCCCAGATCATAGATTCTTGTGTTGTTCAGCTTTCGCTGTTGTAGTAATCCTTAAAGGAAACTCTAGTAGTAGTTAGTCACGTTCAACTGGACATCTATAATGTTGAAAATGTTTTGCTACTCATTTTAGTGGCTTCCTTACTCCTTGAATAGGAAACACCCATCTCAGAGCCCATGGCGCAATGCTGACTGGATTACAGAAAATGAACAGGATGGCTTCACAGATTTTTACACCCCCTGTGATGTTTTTGGACAATCAACATCTGCCTTGGCACATTGAATGGCACCCCATGGTGATTGGATTAAGGGGACTGAGAAAAAGGATGAGCAGCGAAATGTCTTCAACATTACAAAACAAATCCAGTTAAATGTGATTTACTACTTCTATTTGTAGCTATAACAAGACCTGGATACAAGAAAACCTTCACAGTCTTAAAAGAAACATTTTGTGACATGAACATGGATACTCTGTATTAATCAATTAAATCAATGGTTAATGCCACTGATGTTTGCATGTAACCATTCATCCAACTGACGCTGGATGCAGACAGTGCATGTCGGGGGACGGCATTGGGATGGCATTTCTGGCTGCTCACAAACTGGTGCCAGCTAATCTGCCAGTTTGTATGCAGTCATAGCACAGAATACAGCTACACCCAGCTAGTAGATGGGTGGCTGCTGGAGACTTTTCTGTCCCTTGTGATATTGTAGTGGACAGGACGTATGGTGAAGTGGAGCCGAGCGAGATGGAGCCAGCTGTATGGAAACGTGATGATTGTAAGAGCTTGGACAAAAATGTAAAAAGATTTTTTGCTGGGCAATGTATACAATGATCTGGATTCATTAGTAAAAAAAGTTTGAGAGTTTAATACTACGTTTAAGTATTTTACTGCTTGTTCAGAATATGTAAATAATTAGTGTGCATGATCTGGGCACAGGTTTTAAAGTGGACCTTTACCCATATATTTTAAATAACAACAAACACACCTTTAGAAATGTTTAGTAATGAGATTCTACAAACACATACTTCTAGATAATTTCCGGCTTTGTATTCTTTGTATACCTTATTTCTCTTTTCTTTCCCAGTCTTCTGGCAGTGGCCATGTTAACTAAGGGCAGATTACTAGATCTCCTTTTACCTCCTGGATTTCTGGCACATGTGACTAGGACATGTGACCATGCACATCATCTCAGGGAAGGAAAATGTCTTTCCCTGAGATCTCATTAGATTACAGATGAGAATTCTAAGGCAATCCCCTGCTAATGTAAGCTTCCAGGATGGCACTTGGCACTTACATAATTTTGCCAGAACTGGACCAGGAAGTAGTTGAACTCTATTTGTAAGTAAATGAAAAACAAGTTTAACTAATGAATGTAAGATGATTTTAAATCAGCATGCAAAGCTGCCTGCTGCTGTGATTTTTAGTGAAAGGGGGTAAAGGTCCACTTTAAATCCACACTTTCTGATCTCCTGGTGGATGATAAATTATTCTAAACTGTTTTAAGGATGGAATATGATGATACCACATAGTACAAACATACACAGGAAATAACCTGCCTTTTATGAGGAAATTCACATCCAAAAACCTAAATTTTACACTGAAATTACTTAGTGTCTGAAATGTATTATTTAACCAGGCTGATCGCTTTCACAACAGAATCTGAAAAATCCACTAGAATGTTGTTTTGGATTTTTTTTACAGCTAAACTGCATGAAGGTGATGTGCGGGGCAGATTTAGCTGGCACTGTAACAAGCAATGATTGTACGTTGCATTTCCCACTTGGCATCAAAGCCTTTGGAAGAGGTTTGTCTTGGGAAACAAATTTCATTTTAGACTTATTAGGTGTTCCAGAGAATACAAAGTGTAATACAACTGCTAAATCTGAGTGCCCTGACTGGATGGCATCAATGCAAACAAACATCACATTGGTAATTATAGTGCAAATTATTTTTGTATAGATTTAAAAGGGCAACAAGTAAGATACAAGTGTTGGATTGAACAGTAAACTTGATAGCGGATAAATCATAGTGTATAGGGTTCACGTGTCTAAAGATCATACAAATAAGGTTTACATTCTTGACTCTCTATTATGTTTACATTACTTATCGATTTGTATTTTGCTTTTCCTCTGCTTCTTCTGTAAGGAGAAGCTTGATGGTTGAAATATCAGTTTTGCTTTGTACATGTTCATGTAACTTGTGTGTTCTTAATAAACCCAATTTGAACAAATAAGGTATTAGATACAGTGGGGCCCACAAATGGCCAAGTTCCTGAACACTGTAAAGATCTACCAAGGAGTGGGGTATGTGTATTGTGCTTTTTGGGAGAATCACAGAAGTAAGCAGAAGAGATGAGTAGATGCATGGACCTACACACACAGTGGTTGTGGGGAGAATTAGGAACGGGAACTGGTGAGGTAAGGGATAGGGAATTTTGGCAATAGGGATACATGTCTGAGTATGGGCCTAAGGTGATGTTTTTGAAGGATAGGAGGGAGGTGGGGTAGAGCACAGAAAGGTAGGAAAGGAAAAAGGGCTGACGGGGCAGATTTGATGTAGAAATGGGTGTACTGCACATTTCAGTTGCACCCGCCACATTTTTCTGATGTGATGATGCTGAAGAAAAGGTTATACTCACCCGAACTATGAAGCCGGTGGGCTGCTACTCCAGCCCCTGACGCCTATTCCCTCTTCCACTGCAGTTGAGATATGTCCTTTGGTGTCCTCGCATCCTATACACTGTGTATAGAACATGATGACTCAAAGATCCTTAGCAGAGGGGGAGAGAGGCTTCAGGGACAGGTCTAAAAGCAAGCCGTCTTGGAGGATCTGGTGAGTATAACTTTTAGTTTTAGTACCTAGACAAAAATGAGCACTTAACCCTTGCAGTGCGGGAGTAAGAACACTTTGCCCAGAGTTCTACTTGATACAACTCAACTGAGGCTCCCATTAGAAACATAGTGGGAACCAATGGTGTCCCTAGTCTTTTTGCTGCCTGAGGCCGGGGGGGTGCGCACATTCAGAGCAGTGGAAAGAGGGTAGAGGAGACAGCCCCACCAGACATGAGAGTGATGCTGCCAACTCCCTGCCCAGCTCTTAGCAACCTCGGATGCTCTGGCCGGCATGCCGTTCAGCTCCTGGCAGCCAGTTAGGTCACTGGTTACCGGGACTTGGGCGGGACTCCAGCCGGAGCATCCCAGGTTGCGTGGAGCTAGGCGGGGAGATGTGTTTGGCCCTTACACATCTCTCTGCTCGGCTCTTAGTAACCTGGGATGGTCTGGCCAGAAAAGGGGTGGCAAGCACACTGCAAACATTGGGCAGCAGAGCGGCCGGTATACAACAAACATGCTGCTCTGTCTGCCGCCCCTCACATGACCAAAATAGATACCATGTGAGGCAACAGCCTCAGGCTGCCTCATCAAAGGGATGGCCCTGGTGGGAGCATAAGGCTCTGTGCAGACTGCACCCCTGCTGGGATTTGAATTTAGGGCCTTAGAGATAAGAAGCACGATGGCTAAATTTGTTTTATAAAGATAAATGTCTTTGATGATCTACTCAGTATAGCTCTGTAATCATCTACCTTACTTATTTTATCTAGTGTTCTTCACATCTTACTTTTGAGCTCTCTCAGGAGGTTTGCTGAATAATTATTTGCAAATTTGTATTCCCTGCTATATTCAGTAACTAGCACGATCATAACTTGACTATCCCAAATGTTCTTTGTGAGAATAGTTGTACTGCTGTCAAATTGCCAATGCATACTAATTTGCTTCTGAACTTTTTGTGTCTTTCTTTTAAATTACTGAAATTACTTGTTGAATTTTGCAAAGGATGTAAACTTAGTGTGACTTTTTAGTTTAAATGTGATACTGGGGTATAGTTTGGTTTTAATATCTTGCAGAAGTTGCAGCTAAATGTTCAGACAGTGTCATTTGTCTCCTATCTTCCTTTTCAGTACCTGTCATTATCTATTTTCAGGCGTACTAGCAACTGAGACAGTAGCAACCTATAAAGGAAAACTGAAGCCTAATAAAAAACAGGATGCTGTCCCCATGAAGAGCTGCTGAAATCACTATAGTCACCCAATTTATATATCTGCCTCCTCTTCCTGCAATAGGAAATGAACTCTGCCGCCCAGAGACATTTGGGTTTTTGCTCCCCAACCTCTCAACATTATATCATGCCACTTGGAAGCAGCAATCAGGAATAGCGCTGAGTGAATCTGCCAAAATTCAACTCAACCAGAGTTTAGAGAATTGAACAAAAAATTCTCCCAAGGTGAATTTTTAGGTGATTTGCATTGAAGTCAATTGGAGGCAAATCTTGATGGATAATTGTGGCCTTTTGGGGGGTTGCTGGGCAAGCTATTGCCACACAAATACCACGGGAAGCCGGGCACTGCTGTGGGCGACCTGTGCAAATGCAAAAATAAAAAAGGTTAAAAGAGCACAATGGGGGCACAAATCTTTTAAATGTACTTAGTGTTTCAGAACCAGTAGGTTTTCAGGGACAGCATCAGTAACAGCCTACCTTGAAAGTGTTTTTTTTGTCTGTAGTGGAATTAAATGTATATTCTTTAACAATTTGCTTTGCTTACAGACAGCAGCAGCACCCCAAGCATCTTTCATTTGATTAATTTTAGTTTTAAAAAAAAGGCTTTTTACAATGGTTTTAGACATGTCTTGGGTGTTTTCATTAAGCAGTACTAGGTCTGCATGATGATAACCACAAATGCACAGTAGAATCATCATAAACCTCTATAGGGCTGGGAGACAGAGAGCCTGTTCTTGGTGTTGCCTTTTGTATAACGCATGCTGCTGCATTGTTGAGAAATAAAAAGTGTCACTCAAAAGCAGCTCATGTTACTCAAAAGCACCAGCCACTTCCCAACCACAAGAAGTTCCACTACAAAGCTTGGTGAAAGCTCTACCTGACATAGACAGCTTGGCAGCAATGGTCCTCCTCAGGGGCGGACGGACAACACCTGGGGCCCCCGGGCAATATAAGATGATGGGGCCCCCTTGTGCTCCGCCCATATACAAGCCCCACCCACCCACAAGCTCCACCCACATATACATTGAGTTCTTTTTTCTAAATGAAGGCGGCCCCGATGTCGAGAAATAAACCGATAGCAGGGAAAGGTTTACTCTGCTAGATAAAGCAGAGTAAACTTTTCCAGGAGAAAATGTTTCTCTCCTGGGTATCAGGGAGCCTCTATCATATAGCGGGAGACTCCCGAAAAACATCCGGGAGAGTGGAGAGTTGAGATGTCTGCTATTAACATATGAAATGCTTCCCCAACTGTAAAACACTCACTGTCACAAACACCTTCATTGTTCCAGTTTAACCTCCTGTAAACTTGCTGCTACCTACACCTCTACATAACCCTCCCAACCACTCCTTACATCTCCACTGCCTCCAATTCATTTGAGATCTTACCTCCCTGCCTTAACATTCTACAGCCCTTCTCTGCTACAGTGCCACCTCTTCTAGGTAACTAAGTAACAAATGACCCAAACAATACTTTAAACAGCAATAGCATTACTGTATAAAGTACTGCTGCAATGCAGAATGGCACCTGCTATAGAGGACCAGCGGTATTTTATACAGAGGCCCCAGGCTGCCGCATCACATACCAGGCTGCCTGCAGCTCCTCCGGCTCCTTTCTCAATATCCGGCGGCCGGTGTTTACCGACGGTCCCCCCATCTCTGCGCTGGCAGTAGCACTGGGGCCCCCCACCACTCCGCACCTACCTCTCGACGGCCCGCAGTGTCGTAACCTGAGTAACGGGCGCCCGGGGCAGAACAAAATTTTGCGCCCCCCCTGGTGATATGTGGCGGTGTACAGGTATTTAAAGGGGTTCTAAACCCTCCCGTTATTTTGCCTATATCTACTGCTATTAAGCAGTAGATATAGGCAAAAAGTTTTTAAAAAACGCTTTAACAGCGCTTAACACTTACCTTGTTTCGGCTGCGTGCTCCCGTCCGAAAAAACGAGACTGATCCGGCGGCCGTAAAGCATCTTGGGGCGTGTGCATGCGCAGTTCGGATTCTCGGCCGGGAGACGAGCAGAGACGCAAGGTAAGTCTATGGACGCGTGCACCCGCATGCAGACACCGCTGGATCAGAAGTGCCTGCTAGCAGAGAGGTGTCAGCGCTGGATCGGAGAGCCACCGCACCACTGGAGGGACAGATGAAAACATGGGGAAAGAAGAAGAAGATCCGATTAAGAGACATCATTTAAGGTAAGTGCTTTCATTAACATGGGGGGAGGGGAAACAATTTATCCTTTAATGTCCTTTTAATATGAAAAAGTTTATTTGAAAAAAAATCAAACATCAAAAAAGTGAATCATCAGATTGCATCTTCCCATTAAAAACCTTTGACAACGTTGTCCAAAACCAAAACCATTCACACTCCCACTCATACAGACGGCCCCGCATACTTGCATGGATGTGCTATACTCTACCTAGAGGAAGGGGATTAGTACAACTAAGTCAGGAATTTCCATTTGTCTAAGGAATTACATTTTAGGTTAAATAAGACAGAGATTGGTGTCCGTGGACTTTAATTTCTGGAATGGCAGATAGTCTCCTCAGCCGTCGGACACTGTCCTCCTGGCTGGTGTCAGTTTACACGGCCGGAGGAAGCAGCACCGGGAGACCGAGGGAAAAAAACATTAAATCACTCACCTTGTCACAGACGTGCTGGTCTCCGTCTCTCTCTGCACTGTGAAGCTGCTGCACGCTGGGTCCTCACGCCTGAGGCCCCCAGGGCAGCCCCGTTATTGCCTGTCAGGGCAGC